TGAACTAAATCAGCTCTGCCTGATTTAATGAGTGAAGGTGTGAAGCATGGTTGTCCTTGCTTGAAGCCTTTAAACACAGACTCTGTATCTCTCTAAGAGAGGACCATTTGTTTAGCCCTGCTTTGGGGCAGCTCGCTGCCGACCTGCGGCCTTCAGGTGAACTTTCTGCAAAGGTCCCAACTGACACGAACATGAGACACGTCAAGATGTTGTGGTCTCTGCCTGGGAGAGCAAGGCTCTTGGCTACTCTGGAAGGGGCAGGTGGCATCACAGATAAGATACCAATATTTATCCTTCATCAGCTGGGACTAAGCGGAGATGAGGGCAGAAGTGACAAGGACCTCTCTGTGCCCTGTGGGGAGCTCCCATGGAGAGGAAATGGGTCCAGTCCCGTCAGGCGACAAGATGCAATAGTATGGGTTTTGTGTCTTTCCCTCCCTCATTACTTGCCCTTTTCAAGTACTCTGTTAGGTATTTGTGGGTCAGGCTTCTAATTTAGCCTTCCTCACCATGCATCAGTTCCTCTGTATCACCTTGCTGCCATCCGCTTCCAACCTTGTTCTTCCCAAGGCATTTCATTCGAACTGTCCCATTCCCTCTGTGCTTTTTGAATTCAGCAGGACCCAGCTGGGCCAGGTAAACGTATTTATCTGTCCTGAGCAAGTAGTGCTGCAGCTTTCTTACTTCCTTCCCGAAAGCTGTGGGAAGTCTGCTCCCCTGGCCAGGGGAGCAGTCCTCATGGGATAAAAATGAGGGAAATGTGATCCTGCCACTGCTCTTTCCACACTGGGGCTGAGCCCGGTGTGACTAGTCAGGGGCACTTGTAGCATGCCAGAAAGGTGGGTGTCTTAATCTTCTGCCTTCCATCTTCCTCTGCTTCATTTTGAAGTACTGTGTTCTTTATACCATGCTTGTTGATCTGTGTTGCATTGCTCTCTTTCCTTCAGGGCTTTGCCAGCCGTGGGATTTGGAAGTGTTTGGGTATCGCCTTGCTCCTTGCATATATACTGGGACTTAGCTGAGCGGTTCTTACTGTGTAGTAGTGGGGAGTAGAGCAAATTGCTCCTTGACGACGTTTGTATCCTCATTTGGAAGTTGGGCGTTGCAGCATCATGGGGCCGTTAGAAACGGCTGGGGAAAGCCACGCTGAAAATGCTTTTGAGGTGGTGTCTCTGCTGTTTCTCCTGAAAGCCTGTGTTCATCAGCATGGGAGTAACCAACTGCCCTGACAATTACCAGCAGCACAACTGCAGCCCCTTCGCCTGTCGGGGTCTCTGTGTGCGCCTGCATGGCGTTTGGCACCGCCGTTGGAGGTGCAGGTGCTGGGGTGTGTCTGCGTCCAGACTTTCAGACAAATCCCTTTTGGTTTGCGAAGCGTTGAAAATTGGATCATGAAGCAGTGTCTGAGGGGCAGTGCTGGGGGTGGCCATTCCCTTTTTTGCCAATAGGAATGCTATTCAAAAGCTGGAAGAAAGCTGTAGGTTTGAGTTTGTCTTGAGCAGAATAAGCTTATTTTGCCAGCCCAGCGCGCTGATGAGGCTCGGTTGTTGTCTCTGCATCTTTTGAGGGAGTGCTGCTAATTTAGCTGTAGCAATGCTCTGACACTTGATGAATTAGTCAAGAAAGAATCAGGGCGCTGGCTTCCACCCAGCTCCCAGTATTTTCCAGTTTGCTTAGGTTGCTGGTCGATGAGGTCAGTGGGCTAGTAGGCTGGCTGCTGGCTGTACGTAGGTGCGGGGCCAGATGGTGAGAGTTGGAGGCTCGTATTGAAATGCCCTGGGCTTGGTGTAGGCTCGTGGGTCCTTCACCTGGGTGGTGCTGAGAAGGTGTGTGGCATGTCAGGGCTGTCTCTGGAGCGGCTGGAACACGGCGCAGGTTTAGGAGGGTCGTGGCTCTGCACACAGGTAGAGCAACCAGCCCCTGAACAACAGGTTCGCGTGTTGTGCTTTCGGGTATATGGCTTGCTCTGAGGTCTGCAGGCCTGCGTAGTCTGCGAAGGAGCGCTGCAAGCCCTGTCTTGCAGAAGCAAAATGGACCTCTGTAGCTGTATTAGATCAGCCAAGGCTGTTAAAGAGAATCAGAGATGATTCCCGTGTGTGCCTGCCCCGCAGCCGGGCACAGGGGGAAGCCCAGACTCAGCGTCTTCCTTGTTCTCAGCCTCTGTTCAGAGAAGTGCCAGCTGATGTCTTGAGAGGAGCACAGCGGCTCTCGGAGGATCTCTCACTAGCGCTGCAGTTGCATCAGAGTTGGGCTGGCTTTCCAGGTTTTTCTGCCCATCCAGTGTAATCTCTGGTTTCTACCTCAGGAGCTGTGCTTGCTTAGCCATGGCGTTCAGACTCCAGAGGCGGGCTGGCATGGTGTCTGGGGCTCAGCCCAAGGGCATGTCCTTGCAGTTGGGGGTGCTCGTCAGTAAAGCAGGCAGTGCAGTAATGCATGGGTTGCCAGCAGGGCTCTGCCTACCTGTGAAGACAGAAAAGAAAGGAGGCAATTGCAGAAGTAACTTGAACTGTATTGCTAATCCTTGCAGAGCAGTGCAGAGATGTTCCCGCTCATCTCAAACCTGTCCTGGGAAGAGAATTAGGGTGAGTGATCCTGAGCAGGGGTCAGTGGGCCATTTGGTGGCAGGCAGCCCTGCCAAAACCTTGCAGAGCACCAGGCTGGCTCAGCCCTGCCAGAGGTGCAGCCCTCAGTTCGGATCACTGCTGCTGTCCGGAGGCGCACAAGCGCTGGAGTGCCTGGTCTGTGCAGCATTGCTCCCGCCTGGCGTTTTAGCACGAACAGCCCTCAGTCCCGAGCTGTCTCTGCACATCACCCCAGGATGTGGTGCACATAAGCAGAGAATTGTGGCCCTTGTGTGGTTTTTAAGGTGGGCACAGCTCTTCTGTGAGGGACTAAACGCATCTGAATCTCTTCTTGCAGCAGGGTGGATCTCCTCCATCTGTGAGTTGGGGCTTTGTTTTGCACTGAAATCTGCCGGTTGTAGGCTGCTTTTTAAAGTGCTTGTGAAAGCATATGCAGTTTACACTAGAGTCTGGAGGAGATGTATCTGTGCCTTTAGACTTGAGTGAATTTTCTTTGCAAGTCTAATGAGCCCTTCATGCTCCTCGGAAATCAATCCACTGGTTTTTCTCGTTCCCTTCCAAGTAGTCCAATTAGTAAAGGCAGTCATTACGTGTGGCATGGCTCCTGTTTTCAGTGTCTTTTCTTTAACTATCCAAGGAAAGGGAGCACCAGGGGATACCTTCTGTTAAGCTAAAAGGATTATCGCTTCAGTTGGGCTAATTATTTCCATCTTTGCAGCCTACCCACTGTACCTACCCTGCCCTCTCTTCCTAGAGCAGATAACAGTATGTCTGTCCATCTTTGCCTCTGTGCCCTCCCACAGGACTTCTTGAATTGCTTCAGAGTGGTTGGTGGGGTTGCACTGTTAGTGCCCTGGGCAGGCAGGTGGATTTGTCCCCGAGCTGTCCTGTTCGGCCGGTCAGTGATGATGACGCATGTGGGAAGGATGAAGGCTGATGGGGGTTATTGCGGGATGAGGTGCAGTCTTAAGGGACAGATTATAAAGTGCATCAGAAGGACTGTATTAAACTCTGCTGTTCACGGAGAAACTTCAGCACTTAGAAGAGAGGCGATGAAACCACTTGTATTCATGGCTTTGAATAGCCTGTGTGTGACTTTGCTGTGTGCTGCAGAGCTTTCTGCCGCCTGTCAGAATTTCACTTTATGGCTCCCCATCAGCTCCTGTCCCGGGCTGTCTGCCTGGAAGTGCCTGATGTAATTTCAGATGGATTTCATCACTGTGTCAAGTCACTTGCTGCAGAATGAAATTCCTTGAGGTGTTTGTAAATGACTCAAAAAATCTAAAGCAGCCTCTCCCATGATCCTTGAACACATCCAGCTCAGCAATGTGCACATTTGTGCTGGCCTGGAGATCCATTTTTGAGATAAATCAGCTGTCTTCCATACATTGGAAAGAAGTGTTTGCTGGGATGCCCCTTTTGAAGTGGAAATTGGAGAAGTAGGGGGGTGTTCAGAGTGGTGATATTCTTCCCTGCCTAAGAAACATTTCATCTTTTGTTTGATCAAAGCTTGACTTAGACCCTGGATGCAATGACTTGGTATTACCATGAAGGTGTGTGTGTCTTGCTCACAAGCAGCTCTGCTCCTTCTTCGTCTCCAACATCACTTTGTGCGAGCTTCCTGGCGCGGGGAACGCATCTGGCAAGGTGCACACGTTCTCAGTTGCGTTGAGGGCAGAGCAGGTCTGTCACAGTCACGATGAGAGGCAAAGTGATGGACAAGCAATGTTTTTCTTGACTGGCTGCTGTGGCTTTGTATATCCAGATAGCAGGGTGAGACTTTGGCAGAGGGGATTATTCCCCAGTGGTGGGTGGTGAGCGCAGGAACCACGGAGCTCTCATCAGGCTGAGGTGCAGCAAGATGTGAGTGGAAGGGGGACAAGAAGGGAGCCGAGGAGATGGAGTAAAGCTAACTGAGAGCTGAGGGGATATGTGCATACTGTCTTCTCCCTGTGTCCCTGTTCTGGGAAGGGGCTGTCGGACCTCGACGACTGGTAGCTTTGGGAGCGGTGACCGGCAGCTTTATCTGCACGGCAGTGTCAGAACTGTGTGTCAAGGCTGGAAACTTCCTTCCACTGGGCTTCTAGGTGACAGAAAGTTCCTCTCCTGGTTTGCAGGGCTCAAGGTGAGTGTGGTCATTATGTGGCTAGTTTGAGGACATAGCGGTGACAGAAGGGGTGTGCTGGAGGAGACTTTCCCAAGAGAAGGGATAATCCATTGGGATGAGCTTCCTGGAGGTTGGTTTGTAGCTGTAGCCTTTTGTGAACCCTTAGGGTTATGTGTCAGTGCAGGTTGGCAAGAGGAGCCTCTGCATAAAAATGCAGCTTTCATCTGAAAGCATACTTCACTTTGGTGTGGTCAGAAGTAAAGGAAACCTAAGAGATGTAAATGTGTTCCTTCCCTAACGCTGACCTGCCTTGTATGAAGTGCTGACTAGCTCCGTGCAGGTGCTGACTATTTTATTACCCTCCCACTGCAGATCCTGGATGTGGTGGGCTAAGAGCTGCTGGGACTGAATTACCGTTGTGGTTTAAGGTGAGACCTGTGGTGAAGCTGGCTTGTGCGGTTGTGTTACAGAAGTGGAGCTTCACGTGCTCTCTGCCGGCAGCTGCAGCTTGTGGTGTCAGACATCAGTGAGCCCAAAGCTGGGATTTAATCCAAAGTCTGAATTGCCTTTTGTGGCTTACTTTGAATTCAAGGGCAGACTTTACCCTAAGCAAATTCTGCCCTCTGAAGTTACTTCTTTATATTGTGGTTTTACCTACTGCCTCGTCAGCGTGACAAATGATGGTGCCCTGGAGCTAGCTGACAGGGTGGTGGAAGTAGCTTTTAACAATGGACATCTCCAAATTGGACAGGAAACTACATGCTTTTCCCTTGGCATCTTCTGGTGCAATAATGGAGAGCCTGGCAGGCATATATAGGCAGAAGTAATAAATGTCGCTGTGGGGTACAAAAAGGAAAGCAGGTAAAAAGTGCAGCTGAAGATCTGCAGCTTGCGATGTGTTGCTTGTAGCCAGTGCCCATCAGAGAACAGATTCAGAAAGGATGGGACTAAAATGAGGGTGTTGGACCTGTTCTGTGACCAAGGGGCTTGCGGAGACTTGTAGGGGTTGTGGTGGTGGAGGAATGCTTGGAAACAAGGGGCAACTGTGAGCTGGAGAAAGGGGTCGGCCACGATGCTCCCAGGTTTTGCTCTCATCCCGAGCAGCGTGTGCATCTTGGGCACCTGCCAAATTCAAGCACCGTGGG